GGGGGGGGGGGGGGGGGGGGGGGGGGGGCGGGCAGGAAAGAAATGTCAGTTACTTGAGTGCTGGTTAAAAGCTTTTGGTGCACTGCTTTTCTTCTTGCAGGAGATATTGATGAACTTGCCGCGGTGTACAAGGACCTGCGTAGGGATGGTTTGCCGGTAAACGAGTTCGTAGTGACGTCAATGATTAGCGGGCTGGGTGCTGTGGGCCGAGTACTGGAAGCAGAGAGGATTTTTAAGGAGATGGAGAGTAATGGTTGTACCGGCAACGTCTTCACGTATAATGCACTGATAGGAATGTACGCGAGAAACGGGGAGCTTGAGAAAGCTGAAAGAACCTTTCGAGCGATGAAGAGGAGGGGACTGCATCCAAGCGTCGTGACATACTCGTCTCTCATGTCTGCATACGCAAGGAAGGGACTTTTCGACGAGGTGAGCCTAGCTGGTTTTTATTACAGTAATAAGAGAAGGGTTTTCCAAAGAAGAAAAGGAAAAACGAAGAAAAAGAAAAAGGAAAAGGAAAAAAAAAATCTCAAACTTTGGTAGTCTCCGCGGGATGATTGTCCAAATGGCTTCACCTTCATCCTTTTTTTTTTTTTTTTTTTTTTTAATTTACCTGGTCAAAGGAGTAATGGGGTGCTGTATGATGTTGTGGAACAGTGTAGTGTAGTGTTGAGATTATCTATGGATTGGCGCTTCAAACGGCGCTGGGAATGCAAGGTGGGGGGTTCGTGGTCGATGGGGGATGCAAGGGGATGCAAGGGTTTTGTGTTCGCTGGGGGGGGATGCGGGGGTTTTCTGTTTGCTGGGGGATATAGGGGTTTTGTGTTCGGTGGGGGATGTGGGGTTTTTCTGTTTGCTGGGGGATATAGGGGGTTTGTGTTCGCTAGGAGATGTAGTGGTTTTGTGGGGAATGCAGGGGTTTTGTGTTCACTGGGGCCTACAGGGGTTTTATGTTCGCAGGGGGATGCAGGGTTTTTTGTGTTAGCTGGGGGTGTGCAAGGGTTTTATGTTCGCTGGGAGATGCAGCGGGTTCTTGTTTGCTGGCGGATGCAGGGCGGTTTGTGCGTGTGTGTGTGCGTGTGTGCGTGTGTGCGTGCGTGTGTGTGTGTGTGTGTGTGTGTGTGTGTGTGTGTGTGTGTGTGTGTGTGTGTGTGTGTGTTGATCTTATGGCCGTGCATGCACTGGCATCACAATGCACGGGCGTGTGTGCTCTGCTGCAATTCCTGCTGCGCGCTGGCGTGGTCTTCAGAGATCTCATCTGTTAGTATGCGGTTACCTTCTGTTCTCTCTGCTTTGGTACTGTTCACTGTCGTGCTCTGCTGTGCACCGATCGGGCCCACACTATGCTGACTTGGTCCTAGGCCTGGTCGTAGTCCCCACACTGTGCTAACCTGTTCCTACGTGCGATGCACTGGCCAGTTCCGCAGTTCACTGACTACTGGTCCACATGGTACCAACCTGCTTTGCACTGCAGTGACCTGCACTCTCTCTCTCTCTCTCTATATATATATATATTGCGCTCTGATTCACAATGTGACAATATATATTGCGCTCTGATTCACAATGTGACAATATATATATATATAAACACACACACACAGAGAGAGAGAGAGAGCTGTCTCTTATACACATCTACCTTAGCTTAGACCTCAGGTAGTGGTTACAAGTACCAATATGTTGGTGAAGTAGTAATAGACTGGCAAAGAATTGATTTTGGACATATGTCACTGTTTACAAGTAGGCTTGAACTTTCCATACCTTGTGGCAAGGAGATGATCACCATAAGCTAAACCGGCTGACGCTGCCGGGATAACTCCGGGTTCAGAAAAAAAAAAAAAAGAAAGAATGGGAAACCAGCATGGCAATTTACGGGATGTCCTTGTCCTCCCGCCTGAGGTTGGACCCCGCTGCACTACTCGGCACATGCACATATGGCAAAAAATATGGCGGTGTATATTCCCAGGTTCTCAGGAAGATTCATTCTCATTTTACACACATTCGGTGAGTAGTAGAGCGAGGCCCTTCCATCCAAGGGCCGTAAAAAAGAAAAAAAAATCTCGTGAGGGCGAACGCCGCGCAGTCGCGCTACGGGTAGTCAAGCGGATCTCTCTGGGCCTCGCCACACCACTCTCCGAAATGTGAAAAGACAAAAATGTGGCCGGTGCATCTGGCTTTGTTCTAGGAGCAAGTTCATTCTCATTTAGCACATTTCGAGAGTGGTGTGGCGATGCCTTCTGGCATGGCGATATGGGAAAGGACGATGACGTCTGCAGAATATCGAGTTTGTTGTAGGCGACGTGGCTGCCACTCGCGCTGTCTCCGGAACGAGTGCGCTGGCAACGTGTGTGGGTGAGACCAGCAGTATGCCCTCACAGCTCCAGCTGGAGCGACCCCAGATAACCCAACTATTGGTTAATGCCCGAGGTCTGATTTATCTGCGAAGGATTTTGGCTGTGGAAGTGGAAGTGGTGAGAGGCGAGGAGCACAACAGCAGTACGATTGAAGGGAAAAAAAAAAAAAAAAAAGAAGGAACACAATAGAGCAGATGCGGCGTCCTGCGGTCATTCCGAACAATTCCCATTCCCAGCTTTGGGGCCTCGCCACACCACTCTCGAAAGGGGTGAAAAAGACAAAAATGTTGCGGGTGCATCTGGCCATGTTTCTAGCGTGAGGTTCATTCTCATTTTGCACATTTCGAGTGTGGTGTGGCGATGGCCCATCTGGCCATGTTTCTAGCGTGAGGTTCATTCTCATTTTGCACATTTCGAGTGTGGTGTGGCGATGGCCTTGGCCAAACAGAGATGTCCTGTGGTCTTTCGAAGCAATTCCCGCCATTTATAGGTCGTCTTCGAAGTGCCCGCCATGTTTTTGTATCGTTCGTCCTTCGCCTGTTTGAAACTGCGTGTCATCCGTGAAAACGCAGGGGCCATGCTAGCTGACCTCCTTTTTTTTTTTTTTTTTTTGCAATGATCTTCTCTTTCTCTGTATCGTTCCAATTTTAACGGATGTCCCGAAGGACCCCGCCATGTTTTTGTATCGTTCGTCCTTCGCCTGTTTGAAAACTAAAGCCATAGGGCCTCGCTCCGTACTCACCAGATGCACAAACGACAAAAATTATGCCCGTGTATCTTCATCCCATATTCTAGCAGAAGATCCTTTCTCGTTTTGCAAAAAATCGGTGAGTAATTCACCAGAAGGCCGATATTCTTCTTCTCTCTCAAATTCACCTTTTTCAGTACCTACCTATCACTACTCCTTCCTGAGCCTATACGTAATCAAGGGGATGCCATTCCCTGCTTGGCTAAACATATGACCTGTCGTCTTTTCGAACAATTACTGTAATTAACGTCACCACTAATTGACTTGTCCTGATAGAGACGGAAGGAGTTTAGCGGCTTCTGTACTCTTTGGCCGGTGTCGCATGCGGGCGGGAATCGCATGCGGGCGAACGCATGAAAGGGTTGTGCAGCAGCGTAGCGTACTGGCATTCGAATGACTGGGAGTCGGGTCACCGCGTTTCGTTCAACAAGCTGGCTCAGGCTTTCGTTGACCTGAGCTGTTCTCAATTAACGGCACTTGTTCGTTTACCCTTTGCCCTCCGTTTTCCTCCTTCTTTCCCACGCCTTCTTCCTCTTCCTCTTCCTCTTCTTCTTTTTCTTGTTCGTCTTGTTCTTCTGCTTCTCCGACCGGAGATGCCAAGGAACTGACCATCATATGGTAGTGTGTGACAGTATGGGAGGCTCGGGGCAGGCGATGGGATCTGACTGCACCACAGGCGAAAGTGGTCTGTCCGTTGTGTCATGCAGAGCCACCGCCGCGCAAGCAGGGGGGGGCGCGCTCTCGAATTTGCCTCCTGGCACGGGGTAAATTAGTTAGGGGCAGCGGGGTCCGCTGTGGGATGGTGAGGACCGTTGATCTGGCGCTCTTGCCAGAGGCCGCGTGGCGGGCTGCGATCACGACGATGTTGCTTGCGGCGGCGGCGACCCGTCGGGCGTCGTCTCCCATCACCCTTTGCGGCTGCTGCTGCTGGGCGATCTACAAGCTGAGCGGCAACAAAGGGTCCGCGGTGTCAGTACTTGATGGGAAATTGTCGTGGCGGGAGGTTCAGAGGCGCTTCCTTGTGGCGGCGGCCTCGGGGAGCGCTTGCGCCGATGAGGGGTCGACGGCGGGAGCGGAAGATCGGAGCTACCGAGGGACCACGTCCAGGCCGGCGAAGTTGGAAACCAGGAAGGGGGGGGTATGGATGGCGCGCAGTTCGGGAAGGGAGGCGGGGGAGGCGGAGGCGGCAGTGGCTTTGCCTCCTTCTGGCGGGAGCCCGCTACCTGTGCAGAGAGCAGGGGATCGAACTCTCCTCCTTCTGGGGGATGAGAAGGCAACAAGAGAGAAACTGCGGCAAGAAGGGACGCTGGAGGAGGGTGGGAGGTTCTACAGCGGCGGCGGTGGAAAGGCAGCGGAGGGTTCGCTGACAGATGTGTCTGACCCGGTTATGTGGAGGGCGGGACGGAGGGATGCATCAGCAGCACGGGAGGGGGAGGATCCCCTCCGGGTAAGAAGAGGGCTGGTGCCTGAAGAAGCAGCGGTCAGATCAGGGAAGGGTTCGATGGGAGAGGGAGGTGACTGTGCTAGGGGTAGCCAGGGAGAAGAGGGGTTGTTGCAAGTACAAGCCGGGTCGTTGATTGGAGATCGACGGCGGCGGGGCGAAAAGCGCGAAGACTGTCGTCGTCTAACGGCTGCCGACGATGGTGCAAGCGAAAGCAATGGAGATCGGGGATTGAAGGAGAGGGAGGAGGGTCTTAGGCAGGCGGAGACGGTGGGGAGTTTGCAAGCGGGAAGAGGCATGTCGGGATCTGTAGGGCGGAGGCGGATATCCAGCGGAAACCAGCGGAATCCAGCGGGCGAAGGGGACGTAGCAGACGTGGCAGCAGAGGAGAGAACTGCAGGGCGAGACGATACGTCGATGGCGGGAATTGCTGAAAATGAAAAAAGAGAGAAGCCATGGAGGAGTATGAAGGAGGACGAGATGGAGAGGCGGCTAGAGAAGCGGCGGGAGGAGGTGGACCTCCTCGTGAAAGAGATCTATCGGAATGGGGTGACTGCGGCCCTTGACACGTGGCACGATCGTCTGAGAAGGGAGATGCACGGAAGGCCTGAAGAAGGAGAGAACTCGGGCGATAAGAAGTTTGCTGAGCGGGCAGAAGCAGAGGAGGAGGGAGAGAGGGAGACTGTCGGGGAGCATGGCGATGGCGGCGGCGGCGGAGGAGAAAGAAGATTAGAAGTAGTGCGAGCAGCAGCAGCGGAAGTGGAGGGGGACAGGGCAGAAGCTGCGGAGGAGAGGAGGGTGAGGAGTAGTATACCTTATGGGAGAGTGGGCCGGCAGTTAAATCGAGTAGCGGGGTTATTGGGAGAGAAGGGAGACTGGAGAGGGGCGCTGGAACTTGTCCGTTGGATGGAGGAGAGAGGGTGGCTGATGAGAGATCCGCATGTATTGACGACCGTGGTCGAAATTCTGGGCAAGCATGGTAGAGCAGATGAGGCAGAAGAAGTGTTTGTCATAGCTAGACGAAGAATAGGAGGAGGAGAAGGAGGAGGAGAAGGAGGAGGAGAAGGAGGAGGAGAAGGAGGAGGAGAAGGAGGAGGAGGAGAATCAACGACGGTGGAAGGTGAAGGAGCAGGAGGACAAGAGGAGAGGAGCTCAGCTCGGGACAACGGCACAGGACCAAGGAGGAGAGGGAGGAGGAGAAGCGGAAGGAGGAGGAGCGATGGCCGCGCACAAGTGGGTGGAGGGGGTGCGACTGCGATCGACACAGCGTTTATCAATGCAATGATGACAGCCAGGGTGCGTTGTGGTAGGCATACGGCGGCTCTGGAGTTATTTAAAGAGGCAGAGACTTGGCGGCGGGGTGACGGCGGAGAAGGAGAGGGGACGGGGGAGGGGGAGGGAGAGGGTATGCTTGACACTACGTCATTTAACGTGGCTTTGGACGCAATTATGAAGGGGTGTCTGGGGGTAGAAAGAGGGGAGCAGTTGCTGGAAGAAATGGTCGCCAGAGGACACAGACCGGATGTGTTCACGTACCACTCGTTCCTTGGGATCTGTGCAGAGGAGTTAGAGCGGATTGATAGAGGAGATCGCGAAGATAACCGGCGGCGCAGTCGAGCGATTGAAGCGGCTTCTCGGATTTACGAAGAGATGGTGAATAACGGAATGGACCGGACCATAGTCACATACGGGACGATGATCAAAGTCTTCGCCAAGGCAGGTACGTTCGACTCGGAGGAAGAAAAAAACTCCTCAAACACTACGTCATGCGCACTGTTGACATCTTGGCAGCCCCTCTCTAACTTAACACTTCTTTCTTCTTTTTCACTTGCTTGTCTCCGACCTACTGGGCGTTCAATTCGGTTGAAGATGACTGTGTAGCTCCCCATCTGTACGCGTTTTCCCTGCCCCCCCCTGTGATGGAGAGGCGCGAGGGAGTGGCCTTTTTTCTTTTTCTGTCCCAGCGGAGGCTGTGATTCATGGCTAAAATGTGTACAGATCTGCAAAGTGCGTGATGTGCACAGTAACATATCATGGTATTGAAGGTATGTTTTCTCGGCTTTCTCTAGCCGATGAAATGACTCCGTGGGAAAAGAAAGGAGTAAAACAATGAGCCACTGCGAAGAGGGAAAAACCGGCATCAATGAAACAATTCCCATCCTTGACATTTAGGTCTGCCCTCACAGAGAGAGAGAGAGAGAGAGAGAGAGAGAGAGAGAGAGAGAGAGAGAGAGAGAGAGAGAGAGAGAGAGAGAGAGAGTTCTGTCTGTATGTGGGTCGGTGGGCAAATTCCTTTGGTGGGTATGGAAAAACCATGGCTTATTGTATTTGTTGCCCTGTGCAGGCTGGAGGTGCTTTTACCTAACCACTGCCATCTACCCGATTGCCAAGAACAGTGATGCTGCCTGCTTTTTGTTCAAGCAGAATGGCTGATCACGGCATAGATCAGATGACGATGATGAGCCAGCAAGGACAAGGACGGAACAAATAAGATCCCCCTTCAGTCAGAAAGCAGGGCACGGGTGTCATCGGCAGACAGGCAGGTGGGAGAAAGAGGACAGGGTAAGGGCGGGAAGGGGGGGGGGGGCTGCAGGGGAAGGGGGAGCAGGGGCAGGTATTTAAGACAGCAGAGAGGGGTAAGGGAAGGGGGGGCTGCAGGGGAAGGGGGAGCAGGGGCAGGTATTTAAGACAGCAGAGAGGGGTAAGGGAAGGAGCACGGAAGCCGAGCATGGCCTCGGAAAGGACTAAAAAAAAGGGCGGCAAGGGGGGAAGGGGTGGAGCGCGCCAGCCTAGCATGGGCTCAGAAAGCACAGAGAGCGGTGTTTCCAAGGACGAGGTAAGAGAAATGGATGCACTGAAGATGGAACTGCAGGAGAAGGATGCAGAAATGAAGAAAGTGCTGGAACGTCTCGGAGATGCGACGAATGCGGACTCGAAGTTGAAGTCTGAACTGGAGGAGAAGGATGGGGAGTTGAGAAGAATGGGGGAGGAGTTGGAAGTGCTCAGAAGAGGAGTGAAAGAGTCTGAAGAGCGGGTAAAGAGGGATGTGGAGGAGAAAGATGCGGAGATCAAACGGATATCTAAACTGTTAGAAGAGAGGAAATGCGTGGAAGACTCGATGAAGAGAGAAATGGAGGAGGGGAAGGGGAGGTTGAAAGGGGTTCTCGAAAGCTTGGAAGCGGCGAAGCGATCGCAAGAGGCGTTGCAGAGAGAACGCGACGAAGGCGACGCCGAGCGAAAGTTGATGGCCAAACAGTTGGAAGACGGCAAACGGGAGGAAGAGTCGTTGAAGAGGGAAGCGGAGGAGAGCCAGGCACAATTGAAAGGGCTTCTCGAAAGCTTGGAAGCGGCAAAGCGGTCGCAAGACGCAATGCAGAGAGAACGTGAAGAGGGCGATGCAGGGTGGACGTCGATGGCTGAACAGTTGGAAAACAGCAAACGTGCGGAAGAGTCGATGAAGAGAGAAATGGAGGAAGACCAGGTGCTGATGAAAGAATTGCGTGAAAGCTTGGAAACAATGAAGCTGTCGCAAGAGGCATTGCAGAGAGAACGCGAGGAGGAAGATGCAGTTTTGAAGTCGATGGCTAAACAGTTAGAGGACAGCAAACGTGTGCAAGAGTCAATGAGGAGAGAAATGGAGGAGGGAAGGGGGCGAGTGAAAGAGCTTCTCGAAAGCTTAGAAATGGCGACGCGATCGCAAGAGTTACTGCAGAGAGAACGCGATGAGGGCGAAGCAGAGTGGAAGGCGATGGCTCAACGGCTGGAAACTGCGAAATGTGCAGAAGCAGCACTGAGAAAGCAAGTGGAGGAGAACTCCTGGGAGCTCAAGAGACTCACTGAAGAGCTGGGGGTGGCAAGGCAGGATGGAAAAGCAAAGAAGACGGAACTCGACAAGGGGAGTGCAGAGTTGAAAAAAATTGTTGAAGAGTTGGACAGACTGAAGAAAGCAGAGACAGAAGCAAGAGAGGAGGCGAAGGAATCGGCGGCGGATGCAGCGAAGTTGAGGAGGGTCATCGGGGTGTGGAAGACGGAGGTGGACAAGTTGCGAGAAGTGTCAGCGAAGTCAAAGGCGGACGCGGAGAGACGGATCGAAGCGGAGAACAGACTGAACGAACTGGAGAAGGAAGCCGTCTCTCTGAGGAGGCAGTTGGAGAAGCAGAAAACGGAGACTGCAGCAACGGCACAAGCAGAGGCAGCGGCATCCAGGGAGTTGAGCCAGAAGGCTGCAGAAATAAGCGAACTTAGTCGAAAACTGCGCGAGCATCAAGCAATCGCAAAGGAGAAGACCGACAGAGCAGATCAGCTAGCGACCGAACTCGCCGAAGGTGGGTATTGGGAAGGTGGTTGGTGGTGAAAGGAAGCGCTTGGGCACATGATTCTCTCTCTTCTGTGGAAAAAAAGGCAAAATTTTGGCAGGGTGGGAAAGGGGTCCCTCTGGAGGAGCAGGGGATGAAGGTGGGGGCTGGGAGGCGGAGGGGAGGTGAAGGATTAATAAGCGCTACATCCCCTTTGGCCCTTCCCCGCCCGCCCGGGAAGACAACATAAATATGTTTAGCGCAGTGGGCCTGTTTCGGGAATGCCCTCTGTTAAGCGACCACCAGGGTTGGCACAAAAATTCTGCCTACGGGTCTTAGGTTCGGATCCTGGTGGCAGCGAACAGCGAACGGCTCGAAATTTCACATGCAAATTGCAGCGGTGTTGCATGTTCTAATTCCGTTGGCCAATGGACCACCAGGCTTGGGACAGCTGTATGGGTTTGATATGCTAGCTGCCGTCAAGCTGCGTCTTTTATTTTCTTCTCTAAGTTTCCTCCTCCTTTTATTTTATTCTTGCTGCAAACAACTGGTTGATGCTAATTCTTTTATGTCCTTGGACTGCTCAGTGCCTAACATAACTTGTGGGTTCTGTTTGTCTTTGGACTGCTCCGTACCTAACATAACTTGTGGGTTCGTACAAACTCCGATGATAAAAAAAAGAAGGAACAGACTTAGTTTGAGAATCCGTTTATCTCGGATTGTTCGCCGGATGATCTTATACAGAGTTACATGATTTACGGCTCCAGGGCCTTCGACCACCAGGGATCCTTCAATATACCGTTGAAAATGCGCTTGTACATGAAAAATGTGCTTCCAATTGGTTAAAAAACCTCCAATCCATTTATGATTTATATAACTTTGACATGTTTCTTTTGCCATTTTCTGAATTATTTGATTGTTTTGTGGATTAGTATTTACAAATAATATACGACCATTTGAACGAATTATATACTCAATGAAATTACAAGCTCTTCGTAAATAAAGAAGTGTTCTTTCTAAATCAATAATAGCGATTTCATTTTGTAATCCGCACAGATATGGCTGAAAGTCTGAAGTAGGTGTACGATTACCAAAATGTGCCTTTGTACTTAGTAATCTTTGAATTACCTTTTCTGAATTGAACATAGTTTGATTTTGTTTTTGTTTACGTAGCTCAGTTGGTTAGAGCAAAGGACTGAAAATCCTTGTGTCAGTGGTTCGAATCCACTTCTAAACAGGCAACATCAATCTCTCTTAAGAAACTCAACTTGGTCAACTTCTCAGCCTAGACAAGACACACCTCTAGCCTTTTTCCAGATATCTGCGATTCTCTTATCCGGCATCAGATCAGGCGCGAAGCGTCTGCTGAGCACAGTGCAAGGTCAGGAAATCAATACTCTAGCTACACGTGAGATTGATTCCGGACAACTAAGAGTCGGAAGGCGCGAAGCGAAGCTGTTTGTCAGCTTCCCTTCCCGAGCCCACAAACAAGGCTAAGGTTTTGGGGGGCGAGCTGCATGACGGGAAACTGTCACGTGTGGTTCTGAGGGCAGGCGTTCTGCACTGACCCCTATCCTACATCATGATATCTTTTTTTTTTCTTGATGGTGATTCTGATCTTCGTGTTATGGATGTTGGTTCGTGTTTTATGGCATTTTCACTATAAGAAAAACCCAATTCCAGAAAGAATTGTTCATGGAACCACTGGAGAAATCATTTGGACTATTTTTCCTAGTATTATACTAATGTTCATTGCAATACCATCATTTGCTCTATTATATTCCATGGATGAGGTAGTAGATCCTGCAATTACTATCAAAGTGATTGGACATCAATGGTATTGGACTTATGAGTATTCAGATTATAATACTTCTGATGAACAATCACTTACTTTTGATAGTTATATGATTCCAGAGGATGATCTAGAATTGGGCCAATTACGTTTATTAGAAGTAGATAATCGAGTGGTTGTACCAGCCAAAACTCATTTACGTATGATTATAACATCTGCTGATGTACTTCACAGTTGGGCAGCACAAGGCTGAAAAATGCAAGAGGCACTTGGGGCAGAGATTATACCTGCACATCCAAGGTTTGGACCTTGGCAGCAGCAATCACCGAAAGGCTGCTGCTTTTCTTGGACTGCTTACTTGCACTTGTGGGTCCATACGATCTCCAAGAAGAAACATGGCTAGCAGACAAATCCGAAAGGAAAGAGGCTTGTGCATCCTGGTGGTTTCAGTGCAACCACCAAGATTTTACATCACCTCTGGTGGTCCCCACTCTCCCCACCTGCCTGGATTCTTCATATTTGGCACTTCACACTTGGCACTTAGCACTTAGCACCGTGTGTACGATGTGCACTTAGTTAGCACTTGGCACTTAGCACCGTGTATACTATGTGCGCTTAGTTAGCACTTAGCACCGTGTGTACGATGTGCACTTAGTTAGCACATAGCACTTAGGACTTAGCACTTAGCACTTAGCACCATGTGTACTATGTGTGCTTAGTTAGCACTTAGCACTTAGCACCTAGCGCTTAGCAACGTCTGTAATATGTGGGCTTAGTAGTTTGGCAAAGTACAGCTGCTATGAACCGCTCAAATTCACGTTCCACACTTACGTGCACAATGAAAATTCAAACGAAGATTCACACCAAAGTCCAAAGATGGGACACGAGGTTAGTGCTGCTTAACAACTCCAATGGATGATCATATTGCACAGTGAAAGTTCAAACGAAGATTCACACCAAAGTCCAAACATGGGACACGAGGTTAGTGCTGCTTAACAACTCCAATGGATGATCATATTACACGAATTCAGACTTCAAGTCATCCAGCGCTCAACAGCGGAGTGAATAACAGCCTCAATCAGGTATGTTGTTGACTCTCTCTCTCTCTCTCTCTCTCTCGCGCGCGCGCGCGCGTCGTTGCTGCTATGAGGATCACAACCCTGGATACATCCGCCTTCCTCCTACTGCCCTACTTCTACTGCGGCTATGGCCGCCTGTCTCTCTCAACCCCTAGTGCTGCCCAACAGGCTCTCTGGCGCGCAGTCCAAGTCGTGATGTCGCACAAACAGTCAACAGCTCTTCCGCCTTCTCGCGGAACGAACAGTCTGTACGAGTTGCACCGGAGCAGCTTTTAATAGTGGCTTGACTTGGCCTTTGTTTGCTTCTGACCGGTCCCTGTTGCCCGCGGCGTGTTTGCTGCGTGGATTTTGAGCCCCTGTACCTTCCTGACTTTCTTGGAGTGCTCTGCTGCAATTCGACTTTGGACCTGGACCTTTTTGTCGGGTACCGATTAAACTTTCACCGGTCTGGCCTTTTCGTTACCGGCCTCGTGGCCCACCTTACGACGCTTCGGCCTTCTGCAGACCTAAGGGTCCTGATCGAGGAAACCGGGACTGAGGTACTTTGCAACGTGAAATCCTTTCTGTAGCCATGGACTCTGTGGAAAGTGCTAAGGCTGGAGCCTCCCTGCGAGTTGTCGTTTTTATTTTTTCGTTCCTACATATATTACGAAGAAAAAACAAGAAAATACTGTTGTGGATTTATTTCAAAATTATTTGCTTCCAAAGGCTGGAGGCTCGTAATTGATATCTGACACCTCTTGTGATATAGAGTGAATCGATGGTCGTGTATGATGGTGGTCCCCCCGTCGATGGACTATTGATCGACTGTTAGGATGTGTCTCGTACATGAAGTCCTATTAAAGGATACTTTTGTCTTTTGAACTTATAGTGAATTGATGGGCGGATGCATGAAGTCCTGTTAACGGAGCGGCAATGCTGAAACGAACGAAAAGAGCAAAACAAAAATGTTGCAAGGTTTTCTAAAATTCTTTTTTGTGATTGCCAACCCTTGATTTTGGTGTCCCTTGGGGACTGTTTCCTGAACCTGTGGTATTCTCTAGCTCAGAAGAAAATGGCGACGGAAATCAAGATGCGAGATGACAAGTACAATGAATTGGAGGCAAAGCTCCAGCGACTTCATGCGAGGGCAAAGCAACGTATTCAAGAAGTGACTAAGGTGATCCTTACTTCATGCTTTGCCACATATAACATCACTTTGGCGTCCTCCTCCTCCTCCTCCTTCCGTTATCTTCTTCCTTTTTTTCGTTCCTTCTTCTTCTTCTTCTTCCCTCTTCTTCCTCCTCCTCCTTCCTCTTCTTCTTCATCTTCTGCGCCGTCTTCTTCCCCTTCTTTCTGTTCTTCCTCTTCTTCCTTGTTGTCCCTGTTCTGCCTCCTTCCTTCTTTTTCCTCGTCTCCCGCTTAACCATTCCTCCTCCTCCTCCTCCTCCTCCTCCTCCTCCTCCTCCTCCTCCTCCCCCTCTTCCTCCACCTCCTCCTCCCCTTCTTCCTTCTTCTTCTTCTTCTTCTTCTTCTTCTTCTTTCTTCTTCTTCTTCTTCTTCTTCTTCTTCTTCTTCTTCTTCTTCTGGTGCTGCATCCTTCCTCTTTGTCTCTGGGTGCTGCTACTGCCTTTTTACCTCTCCTCCCCCGCTCCCTCCTCGGCCACCCCTTGTTGCAGTTGTTCCTCTTGATGCCATCCCTAAACAGTGGGTTGGAAGAACCTAAACTGCAAAGTTTTCAAAACTGCAACAAGGAGGGGAGCAGGAGGAGGAGGAGGAGCGGTGACCTTGTTGCAACACTTTGCCTAGTGGGTCAATTCCCCATTCTGTTCACCAGAAGCTCTGACGATTTGGCAAACGTCGTTATCCATCAATTACAGGAGAAGGAAGATGCGGAAGCCAAAGTGGTTAGCGCAGGCGAGAAGTGTGCACAGGCCTTGTCAACGTCGGCATCTCTGCAAGACGAACTTGACCGGAGCAAAGCCATGGCCGCGGAGGCAGCTCGGAATGCAGCGAAAGAGAGAGAGGAGCACAAGAAAGCAAATGAGGGGTGAGTCTGCTCTAGCCCCCCCCCCAGGGAAGCGGACTCGCTGGAGTGTGTGCTCTACTATGTACATATCATTGCCATCATCCAAACCTCTTTTTTTTTTTTTTTTTAATAAAAAAAATCCGGAGCCCGGTCTGGATGTTGATCGGGAGGCTTGAATGGTAGCTATGATTGGTCATCAGGGTTGACCACCGGTTGTTGGTGGTCCAGGGTCCGGAGTTGGAAGGTAGGTTGGAGCTGTGCTGATGGAGTTACAAAAGATTGTACGGGTATGTACGTATAGTGGCTATCATTTGGTACAATGTGGCGCTATGTGGAGAGAGCACTTGCGCACTATGAGGAATTATTGTCCTACTATGCACGTATCATGTACTACTACGTTACGAATGATGGCTAGCAAGGCAATTTTGTGTAATTGAGTGATTGGCAAAGACTATCTTCAAGTTGACATCTCACGTGTGCCACGTGCGTATGCTGCAGCTGGTGCGAGTTTGGTGTGAAAATTTGTTGTGCATGGATGGTCGCATTGCCCTATAATGCCTAGGCGGTTTGGTATCTGTACTTGGCTACCCTGGAAACAAATAGGGTATGCACCTAGGCTACCAGAGTGGCTCAGGACCACTTGCCCGGCCGGGCCAAAAAAAAAAAAAAAAAAAAAAAAAAGATTTTTAATTTAATTTTTATTTTAACTTTGGTAAAGAATTTCGATGTGACCCTGAGGCAAAAGTTGTTCAGTTTATTTTTCTGCATAACGTAGTTTTTTTGGGGATGTTTTTTTTTTTTTTGATTTTTTTTTTTTTTTTGCTAGGACCTTTCCGGGTCCTTGCACAGCCGGACCGCCCGGGAAAATAGGGTGACCCGCGAGGCCCGGCTGGTAGCCTAGGTATGCACCCTATTTAAATAGGTTGCATAATTTTAGAGAAGCGTCGGGGAAAAAAAAAGAAGAAACAAATAGGGTATGCAACATAGGAGCGCAGTTTGTACACCCAAATGAACTGTTGAAATACAGACCCAATTTCGAATCCAGATGCAATCAAATGAACAGAGTAAATAATTCTGAATCACCTGGCCCCGGTCAGTTCAATGATGATATCTCAAGGCCATCGCCTGAACAAAAAAGAAAAAAAAGAAGAAAAAAGGAAGAAAAAGGGAAAAAAAGAAAAAAAGGAATAAAAACGAAGGGGAAAAAAGGAAGAAAGAAACGCAGAAAGTCTTACACGACAAGCATGTGTATTGTACACCATTCATAATTTAGTTTTCAGATCCAGATGATAATGTAGAAAACGTCGACATGCTTGCATGCATGCATGTGGACGTTAGTGTGTTATCATAATTGGCGGGAAATTTTTCCCTTCTCTTTTCTTTTCTTTTGGGTTTGACCACCAATACTACAATGAACCTCTTAGTTCGACACCAATTAGCGCACATAATCTCCACATGCATGTATGAGATCACACGAGAGTCACACTGAAAAAACCAGAGAGATTAAGACCGATTAACGCAGCTTATGAATTCCAACAAGTTAAACAAGAGCAATAAGAGTTTCGAGTCACCAGCGCACAACAGCGCATAACATAGGTAACCAAACATCCAACATGATCACCCAGCTAAGTATCTTCTTCCTCCCTGCTCTTCTCTCTCTGTTGTATCACCCCTCCTTGCTGGTCTTCTCCGTAGCTTGTGACCTCGCTGAATCTTTTCTCCCTACATGCATGCACACTCACACTAACTTCTACTCAAAGATCTACTCTGAATACACCCACTGACAACTCTACTAATCCCTCTGAAGTCTACTACTAACTGCTAGTACTAGCACTTCTGCACTGGTGCAGCTATGGCTGCCTTCTCCCTCCCAGCGCTATCTTCCTCTCTCTTCGTCACTTAGTGCAGCACTCTGGCCTCAGCGCTCTGCTCCTCACTTCAGCGCACAAGTGCACCAGCACTTCCACACTTCTTGCGAATGAGCAATCTGTGACTGAATGTGAGGCTGGCCAGTCCTTTTGTGGTCTTGGTTTGGACTTCAACTCGTGCCAGCCTCTGTTTCTTGGGGCCTGTCTGCTACTGAATGTCAAGGCCTGGAACCTTCCCGAATTTCCGTTGGACTGCTGCTGCTTGGGCCCTTGAGTCCTGACTTTTCACTTGTGAACATGACTTTTGACTGTGGACAGTGACTCTTGCCTGTGGGTCACGACTTTTGCCTGTGATACTACCTTTTACTCGTGGGATGTGTCTCTTCTATATGACTTTTCATTAGGAAACGTGACTCCTGCCTTTGAGACATGACTCTTGCTTGGTGAATCTGCCTTTTCACTCGTGAGATGTGACTCCGGTCCCTTAGACGTGACTGTTTGCTGGGTGCCTGTATTTGTCAGATTGATTTTTTTTTTTTTTTTTTTTTAATAAACGGGTTACCCCCTATCATCAGCATTGTATCCATCTGACTCTGTCAGTATTCCAACTCGGGATCTGTTAAATAAGTTAAAATAACGGATAAGTAAAGGGCCTAAAGGCTAAATGGTACACACCCCTACCAGTACTTTGTACACACTAAAAGGACCTTTACCCGATGTAGGCCTCCGGCCTTGTAAAAGTAAAGCATTGTGAAAGGGTATCTCGCCAGGGCTCAGAAACGTGAAAGCAGGTCAAAGGTCAAGTTCTCTATCAACAGGCACATCTAAGTCTAAAGCAAAGGGCATTGTCAAAAGACTTACCTGTTCACCAGGAGATGTGTATGTCATGTCTGGTCGGGTAAGAGTGTCTGTACGTGCAGGCAGTGTACCTGTTCGTGCAAAGGAAAGTGTCTGTTCAGGCAGTAAATGTGTCTGTTCGTTTAGAGTTGTGCCTGTCCGAAAGTAAAGTCAAAAGGCACAGTTCCAGTTCTGGTTTAAGTCAAGGGGTCAGTCCAGATCCAGACTTTGAAGTCCAAATCTAGGCCGAGAGGCCCCAGCAGCAGTCGAACCTCATTGGGACTATACTGGGACACATGCAATGCAGGGTCTGGGACAAAGGACAGGCTGAATTGAGCCAATGCAGACCCAGCGAGGAGTGGCCAGCACTATAAAGAAAGCTGCCAGCCTCATTCCTAGCCAGATCTCCACTGGCTATCATTGAGTGGAAGTGCTGGTGCACTTGTGCGTTGAGTCAGGAGGAGCAGCGCTGGAGGATGAAGATGCGCTGAGTGAGGGAAGAAGCCTGGATGCTGGAAGTAATGCAGCCATAGCTGCCCAGCAGTTAGCATTAGTATTAGAGAGTTGGTGTTAGTCAACTATGAGTAGTATTCAGAGTAGATCCTCATGAGAGAAGAGTGTGTATGCATCATAGGGAGAAGGAGCCGAGGCAGAAAGTGTTCATTCAAGATTGGGCTATGGATGATACTTACCTGAGTTGCATGTGAACTGCAGAAGTGGCGCTGATGAGTGGTGACCACATTAATGACGTAGAGRTAGTCTGCAGATGTAGYRCTGATGCACTGGAAGTCATAATGATGAGTTGACGAGAGATTCGTGTTGCGCTGATGAGCGCTGGACTCAGGGGAACTTGGAAACACTTTGTAATCATATTTTTGATAATATAAGCCTGGAAACTCGGTTCTCTTCTCATCTACCTTTGTCTATTGTGTGAGACTACTTATCATTGTGTGCGAGTATGATGCATGTCATGTACACACTTGCGTGAGATGGTCCTCAGGACCCATGCAATTTTGGTATCGGAGCAGATGCTCGCTACACTCATAGCGCTGGTCTGATCAAGGCCGGCGAGAAGAAGTGGTGATGGAGGAATAGGGAAGAGGGAGGAGGAGAAGACAAGAGGTGTTGGATAGTGGGGAAGCAGGTCGAAGAAGAAGTGACGAAGTTACTTACCTGGAGCGTGCGGAGCGTGTGGAGCATCATCGGCAGTATCTTCAAGAAGAGAGAAGCACCTCCTTTTCCCTGAACCTGCATGCATGTGTGTGTCCCCTACCTTCTCTCTCTCTGACCCTCTGAAGGCGACTGCTGCTGATCTGGTCAGGAGTCGAAGTCTGGATCTGGGGTGTCATAGCTGTCAGGTCTGAGCCGTCAGAGTCTGATGACCCAAGGGTGATGTGTCAGGGACTGGTCTCACTAAAGTAGGTGGTCCAGCATTCTGCGAATAGGAGTAGGTCTCTCTCCTATCCCTCTTAATAGGCAGGCTGGGTATTGTCATCAAGAACCAAGGATCRATGTRGGGAGTGGCAATGTGCCACATCAGATAGCATGTACCAGGCAGTATAAGGATGATATTGAGTATCTCCCGGGCCTGTTAAGCCCGAAAGAAAGAACAGGATATACGAAGTATCTCTGCCTGGTTGGATAAGTGAACCATCTGAATCTGCGCTGTACTCCATATCTGCACCAAGCAACCAGCCAAGTTAATACAAAAAAAAAAAGAGAAAGTAAGACAACAGGAACACATTACCAAACGTTCGATCCAGGAGGCCAGACAGCACATCAAAAAAAAAATTAAAAAATAGACATATTCAAGTTCATTGTAGCTTGATCTATTGTTGATTGTACGCAGCACCTCTACCGTTAAAAAAAAAAAAAGGGAAAAGGAAAGGTATAAGTACTCCATTACTGCAAGTCAAGACCAAGTCTGTACGTGGGATAGTACCTTGGTGACCCGGCGGAGGATCTCCTGTGCCGGCAGTCATCATGGATGACTATCCCATCCAGGGCCTGTTGGCCCTTTCTGTCTTGTCGGGGCCGCTGTTCCGGCTTATGTTCCCACTGGGGTTCGGGCGTGTGTGCACGTCCCGCATGCTGATGCGGTCTGGAACAGTGAAGCCTGGTCCTACACCTGCGGAACANTGGGGTTCGGGCGTGTGTGCACGTCCCGCATGCTGATGCGGTCTGGAACAGTGAAGCCTGGTCCTACACCTGCGGAACAGGCAGAGATAGATCGTAAGTTGGCAGAGAAGAAAAAGGAGAGAGAAGCAAAGAAGAAACAGAAAGAAGAAGAGGCAAGGAAAAAGATGAAGGAAAAGATGGAGAGAGAGTTGGAGGAAGAATTGAAAAGTATAGAAGAAGAAGATCAAGAAGAACAAGAAGAAGGAGAAGTGTTGGAAAGACGTCGTCGCCAAGACATATCGGAAAGCAGTACCACGACCCGCCTTCCCGTTGAACCGTTGGACTGGGGTAGCCAATACTACTACTCCAGCGAGCCGTTAAAAGAATTTGATGAAGAACGGGATACGTTCATCGCCAAGTTGGCCACTATTAAAGACACCGTTGAACGAAACCTGATGTTGGAGAAGAAACGGGCTGAGCTAAATCGCAGGCTGTTGGCCGCTAGACGGCAAGAGGTGGAAGAAAAGAAGAGATTGCAGGCAGAAGGGGATAAATTGCAGAAAGCTCTAGAAGCGCAAAAGGAAAACCCCTCTGCAACTGAAGCACAACTTGCACTCCTCAGGGAGGCCGTCCTCAACACGAGGCAAGACATGGACTTAATGCGGCAGACCTTGCAACGTGTAAAAACACATCGGGTTGAATTTGAGAATGTCTGGAATAACTTCGTAGAAAAGTCAGCAAAGGACGTTGACCAACATGTGCAAACTTACATCCAGGCTTTGGACGAACATATTAATAAAGTCTTCACCCCGGAGGTCGTAGAAAAGATTGTAAAGGGAGCTGGAGGCGACGGAGGAGATGGAGATGGCGACGACGATGATGACAAGAAAGGAAAGAAGAAGATTGAGGATTCAAAGGGCCAACCTTCCCAGGAACCCGGGCAGACTAATAAGATTAAGCTTAAACTGCCATGGACTTACAATGTACAGAAAGAAGAGAGTGTGTTGCACTGGGCGGCGGCAATTGAAACTTATGTGTATGGACAGCGAATTCCATACTGGGACAGGGTATTGATGGCAACCTCGTGCATGGGAGGCGACGCCATGAGCTTCGCCATCTCGCTGCAAAAAGAGGCGGGATGCAGCTCTATGGTAGAGTATTCACAACAAACCCGTATTGAGGATTCCCTTAAAGCGATAAGAGAGAGATTTGAGGACAAGAACCTGGCAAGGCGCACATAAATGTTGATCCTAAGCCTCCCCGATAGGAAATGGAAGAGTATGTCTGCATTAAAGGCAACTATGGATGAACTTTTGCAATGCCCTGATCATGGATTAACACCAACCCAAATCTTAAACAGTTTTGCACGAGCACTCCCGGATCCTCTAAGAGCACAACTCTATCCCCGTACCAAGGAAGAGGGGATGACATATGAGAAGTTCGACAAGATCACCATTAGATCATGCCGGCTTCCTCGCTGAAGCAAATTATTGCCATTACTGGAAGGATCTGCAAGCGGGTAAGAGATGGCAAAACCGCACTATCTCAGGGTCTATACCTGGGAAAGACAGTCTCCTTCTAACCTTTGAAGAAGGAGGCGCCGATACCATCTCCTGGGATCAGGTAGACTATGGTCTCGATGAACCCAACAGACCGGTAGCTCAGGAGGGGAGTTACACGGCTGTTGCAGCCCGCGGGGGAGGGCGTCAAGGAAGAGGACGTGGCCGAGGAAGAGGTCGCGGCCATGGTGGACGAGGATTCGACACCCAGAGGGGTGGTGGTGAAGGAAGCCACTACGTGGGAGGAAGGGGAAATGGTCCCTCATACGGTGGCCGTGGTTCTTACTCCGCCTGGGGTAGAGGAAGAGGCTCATGGTACAACAAGTGGGATAAGCCATACCCACCACATCCAGGCCTACCCGAAGGGGAGCCTTGGAAAAAGTTGGGAATAACAGAAAAGGTATGGGCTGAAAGAAAGAAAGCCGACCAATGCCTCAAATGTGGGGACCCCGACCACATTGTCCCCTATTGCCCTGACTATAGGGGGGCAAAAGGGAACAGCCAGTAGAGGTGTCAGTTGCCTCTACCGGGACTTCGAATGTTGAAAAATTAGAATCCTCCCATTCGAAGGCTCAAATGGCAGAAACTGAAGAGGATGGAAGTCCCCATCTAGTGCACTGTCCAGAGGTGGCAAACGTATGCATCTCTCTAGATGGATCCCTCGCTGGCGTGGGTGATGAGTTGGCCGCTCATCGCCAAGCCTGGACTGAAATGYGTAAAAAGAAAGGACAACTAATAATTGCAGATCTAGAGATAAATCGAATAACAGTAGGGGGTATGATAGACAGCGGGTCTACGCGCAATTATATTAGTAAAAGAGGGTTGCAGAAACTACGTCTTGGGCTTAAAGTTAAGAAGTTAGATGAGCCCATTGTTAGTAAGCTAGCTAATAGTACAGAAACCATAATGGATCGATACGTCGAGGGGACACAGGTATACTTTCGGCTAGAGGCAGAGGGGAAGGTGGAACGCGTTCTTCACTCTCTGACCTTCTTGGTGGAGGATAACTTGCCGTTTGATATGTTGCTAGGAATGGATTGGGGTGAGGCTGCACATGCGGATCTAAAGTTAAGGGAACATGAATGTTGGCTTCCAAGTCTGCAAGGAGGTAAGAAGAAATGCGGATCTAAAGTTAAGGGAACATGAATGTTGGCTTCCAAGTCCTCAAGGAGGTAATAAGAAAATTCGCTTCTATCATGAATCTGGAAAGGAAAGCAGCCTAGCTCACTGTTGTATGAGTGCCCCAGCATTCGCTCGCCATGTTAAGAAACATAACTTGTATGACCAAGTCTTTGTTGCATATGTGCGCCCAGTAAAGGAAGGAGAAACAAAGGAATTAGTCAG